CCCGCGGCAGCGGCTGCGCGCGTGCGCCCCGGAGAAGCTCCAGCGCCGAATTGCCAGCCCGCCTGGCGGCGGCGGTCAGGGAGTCCGTCGCATCGGACAGATTATGCAACAAATTCGTTGCCGCCCAGCTCCGCCTCGCCAGAAATCTATCAAATTTCTCCGACGCGGCCGCTGTTAGAGCTAGAACTCTGGCCCTGCGATTGGCGTGACGGCCTCCGTTTGCGCAGTCTTCCCATCTGGCCACCCGACGTCGTGTAGCCAGCGACGCAGCTATGGCATCCGTCATTTCGGCGGGAAAACCAAGGGCCCCCCATCACCGACGGGTTGCTCCAGCACCGAGACCCAGGGTAGAGGATGCCGCGCACTTTGCGCGCGATCTCTGGCCAATCTGGAGGTAGAAATTCCAGCTGGAGAGGGAAGCCGATGAGCGGGAATCTGCATGCCCTGTAAGCCTGCATGCTCACGAGCACGCCACCGCCGACGTCCCTCCATAGCGAGGCGCGCGCGCGAGCACCTTGGAGAACGCCTGCTCCAAAGATCGGTGGCCTTTGTCTGGCCCCAACGCACATTCGAGATGTTTGGCGCGGTCGGAGATTCTAGATACAGCCCATGAGGGTGCCAGCGTGCTCCAACCCTCCCGGATCTCGCCTGGCGGACGGCATAAGTGAGGTAGCAAGATCGACCTGCCGCGGTGGAGTCTCAGGCGGGAGATGCGCCCGCATTCAAAACATATGCGCTCGAGCATCGGCAGCTCCGCCACGTCGCCCGGCAGGCCCTGAGCGGTCAGGTCGCCCGCGTAGGCCCAGGCCAGGTCGCCCGCGTAGGACCTGAGCAGGGCGCCGGGTAGCAGACGGGACAAACGGCGCGGCATCACATCCGAGACGGCGGAAAACAAGAGCGGCGAGAAGAGACAGCCCTGCCGGACTCCAGCGGAGTGACACCCGCGCCAGCAGCGCAGCCCGCTGAAGTGGTGCACCTGTATTCCCTGCAGAGGATCTTCACCGTGGTCGCGAACCAAGACGGCAAGCCGCGACGGCAGAGGGCGCGGGGGATGACATCGTGATCCACACTCGGGAAGGCCGCCTCGAAGTCGACAAAAAACTGCGACCGGATCGGGTGCTGCGAACCCCGCCTGGATCATGCTTTCTTCGATGTCCACTAAGTTGGCCAGCGTGGAGCGGCCTCGCAGAAATCCCCGCTGTGCCGGGAGGAAGCCTGGGGCGGCAGTCGGCTTGACGTGCAAGCGAATGGCCCTGCAGATGATGCGGTTGTCCGTATTGGCAATGTTGAGGGGCCGCGTGCTCCTGGCCCGGTGCACCTCCGCGCCGTCGCCCATGGTGTCGGAGGGCTTCTTGGGCAAGCAAACCATAGCGCTCTCGTTAAAGTTGCCCCATTCGTCCTCGATGAGCCGCAGCCCTGCGTCGCCGGTCATTTTAACGAAGGCCTCGTGGAGAGCGCCCGCAGCCTAAGACTCAATCTTCCTCCGCGCATTAAAAGGGATGCCGTCTAGACCCGGCGAGCTGGAGCTCGCAGAGCGCATGGCCTGGCGAAGTGTCCCAAGGGGGACGGGCTGCGCGGAGGGGTGCGCGCGGTTGTCGTCTGGGAGGTGGTTTGCGTCCTCGTCAAGCCAGCTGTCCCTCAGAGAGCCGTCCGTCTCCTTTTTGGTGTAGACCTTGCTCCAGTGACCCCGCAAAGTCTCGATCATCTTGCTTGGGCCAGTCGCCGCGCGCCCCCGGGCGTAAGAGATAGCGAACCACACGCAGCTCCGGCCCAGAGCGAAGTGGCAGACCAAGCGGTGGTTCTTGGTTCGCCGCTTCGTGGCTTGTTCCACCGTGAGCTGCCGTAGATCGACGTGCAAGCTGTTCAACTCCTCCATGGTGAACGCATGCGAGAGCTCCATGATGCGCGACCATACCAGCCTGAGGCGAGGCCCAGCCGGGAGAATGAAGTCGCGGGAATAATGAATAAGTAATTCCCGAAGCATCGGGTAGCGAGCCAAGCAGCGACTGATGCGCTCAGAACAACCGGTCTCCGAGGCTCGCAGAAACTACAGTGAGACCCCAATGCGGTCCTCTAGATCTTCTGCTGGAGGTGCGGCGGCCATCTGGATGTCGATTGTCTTCTCAGCGCGCCGCGTAGCCTGCTTCAGCAGTTGGAGCACGTAGATCATGGAAGCGTCGGGGCGTTGGCCCAGAAGCTCCTGAAGGCGACTTGCCGGGGCCAGTCCTCGTGCTCCAACACCCGATCTGGAATGGGCCGATCGCGAGCAGTCTTTGGGTCGGGGATCCGCTTCCTGAAGCTGACGGGCCGGCGCTGCGCCAGCTCTGGCGACCAGCGCAGGGCCGTGCACGAGATGGCCCTATCAAGGTACTCCACGGGGTACTGGCTGATTGCTGCCGCTCCAGTCTGGAACGAGAGCTCGGACAGGCGCACGCGGGCCCATGTCGGTAGAGTTCGCGAAGACCGCGCCGAACCTCAAGAAGAGCACGCCAGCTGGAAGCTTCCAGCTTGTCCCGCCCTCCTGATGCGACGGCCGCGGTGAGGCATCGCCCGTCACACTGGTCCACAACGTACTTGAAGTCATCGCATATGTGGCTGATGACCTGATCCTGCGGGCGGACGCAGTCCGCCAGTCGGCGACGGAGGGCTTCTCCCAGCTCGGCGGCGGAAGCGGGGCGGCCATTCAGGTTGAGGCCCGCCAGAACCTGATCCTCCGCTGGCGCGGCGATGCCCGCGTGGAAGTAGAGCGAGTAAATGTCGAGCGATCCGGCATCGCCCCAGAGACGTAACACTCCTGCCCCGCCAGGAAAGATGACCGTTCATCGGTGGCCCCCGTTGAATTTCTCCAGGAAAACGCCGCGCATCGCAGCGCCGACACCGAGAACCCTAGACGAGGGCCCTGGCGACCGCCGCGAGGTGCAGCGCGGTGGACTCCTCCAGACCGCATTGCCGTCCAAGCTGCCGTGCGTCTCGGACCAGAAGCCGACGTCATGCGAGGCCGTGAGCCGGTGCGCGCGTCGGGATTTCTGCGCGTGCTTCATGGGGTCGGATGCGAAGAGCGCCTGGGTGCTCCATGAGGCAAAGGAGAAGCTGCCCTTGAATTGGGAATGCTGCCGGGAAGTCCGGGGAGCCCGAGGAAGTAGGAGAGGTGCGGGCGCACCTGCGGCCACCTCCAACCCAGGCGCCTGCCGCAGCCAAGGTCGATGTCTCACCTGGGGCGGGGCGTCGTCCGCGTCAGCCTGCTGGCTGTCGAAACGAGTCTGGGCAATGCATTTGGAGGCGCGTGGGGGAACAGGAAGTACAGGAAGACGGAGACGCGCAAAATTGGCATCTGGATTCCCGGCCGGCGGACCTCCCCTATCGCCGGAGATGGTCTGGAACAGGGCGCTCGGGCTCCCAAAGGGGGGGGCGGAGTGCGAAGTCGAGATCCAAGATCCAGCAGGAAGAGCCGCCCCTTGTGGCAAATCGGAATTCCAGGAGACAGGCAATCATGGCCACGACTCCAGAGGTCGCGGTAGTGGGGGGTGGAGTTGGCCCCAGGTAAGAGTGGGAGCGGCGCGGCGAAGGTGGTGGATGCGAGCTCCTCATCACATTGCTTGGCCGCCTCCGCGATCCTCGTGGAGGCCTGGGCGGCGAGGAGCTTGTCGGCTGGCTGCCAGTTCGAGTTCTCGCCCAGGCTGCAGAGTAGCTGGCCGACGCGGGCTCTGAAAGCGACGTCCAGCTCAGTGGATTCCGGGCCGGCGAGGGGGCCGGATCCCAGCAGCTGCCAGGGGTCCGCCAAGGTCAACTTGAAGGCGAACTTGCAGAAAATGTTGAGGAGCGATGCCCAATCCTCACGGAAGGCGATCGCGATCTCTGGGCCGCGCGATTGCGTCGAGACCGAAGCCTCCAAGAACTTCTGGCCAGAAGAAGAGGTGCTGGAGCCACCCCCTGATCGCCACGAGGACCGCGACGAAGGTGGCGTGGCGTGCAGAGGAGGGCGAGGAGTGAGCCAGTGATTGAGTGAGTGCGCTGGGAGGGCGTCCCAATCCGATAGCCACTGAGCTACTGCATCGATGCCACTTCAGTGGGATTCGCTGCCCTCTGCGATGATATGGAAACTAGCCCCAGCAAAGCCTTACGAACACGGCTGGACCTGGCCTACGGCGCCTCCCTGCTGCAGTCGTTCTGCAGCGAAGAGGGGCGGCTGCAGCGTGGGGGACCACTGTCCGCTCACACTGCAATGGGGTGGGACCTACCTACCTAGGCGGAGGAGGGCGAGGAGGAGGAGGAGGAGGAGGCTGTCGAGACTACATGAGGCGGGCCCCCCTCTCCGAAGAGCTTACCAGCGCCTACCTATCGGCAGACTCGTCAAAGGCAAATGCCTCACCATTCGGATTCAAGGGCTCCCAAAAAGCCACCACGTCCGAGGGGGATCTGAAACCGTTGGGCGATTCCCCAGTCCAGAGCGTCAGGGACCCTGATACCATACTTAACAGCTGGGATCGACTGATCAGCACCCCTTCCTGCCTCCTCCTCGAGCGGATTGGAGGGAGAGGGTGGGGCGGGCCCGGGGGGGGGAAAGGCTCCCTCCCTGTTCTCCCTTCTTCGAAGACAGCCTGAAGCGGCTGTAGGATGGTATGGTGGTCTCTCTCCTCCCCCTCCCCCCTCCGAAATGGAAAGCAGGTCCCCAGTTGCTACTGGGGAGCCTCCGCGTTCGCGGCGGCAGGTGCGCGCGCGCCCGCAGGCGCGGGCGTGGACTTGGGGTCGTGCGGAGCCGGGCTGCGGTGCGAGGAGGAGGAGGAGGAGGAGGAGGAGGAGGAGGAGCTTCAGCACGCGGTGAGATCTCATTCGCAGCTTCTGGATTGAGCTGGATGGTAGACCTCAGGCCCTGAAGGCGCTCAATCCTGCACCTCAGCGCGCTTCGAGCGGTCAGGTGATTTTCGAGAGCGCCCGAGGCCGAGAAAAGTACTTACCCGATCACATAGGGTGCTGCTGTTCCGTTCAAGCCCCCAGACGTCCTTGTACTTGCCGTCCGATGCCGACCAGACGCGGAGCTCGCTCACCTTGGCCGTCAGAAAATATAGGTATAGCCCACCAGGGTAGGGCAGTAGGGAGAAAGCATCCATCTCCCTTTGCCCTGATCCCATATTTGCACCTACCCGTCGCCCATGGGCTATATCCGCCACCGTGCAAGATACACGGAGTGGAACGTCATCAGGTCCTGAGTGCCTCGCAACGCTGAATGTATCTATGAGCCCCAGACATCCGACTCGCATGTGTGCTCGGCGATGAATCCTGATCTCGGTGGCCCACGCAGTTTTCTTAAACGGGCGCTGAATCACCTGGCGGCGCCTGCGGCGCCGCCCATCGCGTGCGGGGGTGCGACAGCGACCCAAGATGGGACGAACAAGGACGTACTATACGATGCGTCCTCCTCGGAAACATGAGTCCGAACCGAACATCTAATACAAACATCTTGTCGGAGGTGAGAGGGTGAGATCGAAGTGGAACGGAGAGCCCCCCTACCGGGAAATCGGTTTCGGTTTCGTGTTCGTGCGTGCCGTGCGTGCGGGCGAGGCGAAGCTGCGTGGGCGGGCGAGAAATACACCTCCTGTAGCTGAGGCGCGGCCGGACCAAATGATTCCCTTCTGGGCGGCCGGTGGCCCGCGGTGTCCCGCCGGTGTCCCGCTGGTGTCCCGTGTGGCTGAGGCGCGGCCGGACCAAATGATTCCCTTCCGGGCGGCCGGTGGCCCGCGGTGTCCCGCCGGTGTCCCGCTGGTGTCCCGTGTGGCTGAGGCGTGGCCGGACGAAATGATTCCCTTCTGGGCGGCCGGGGCGGCGCGTTGTCCCGCCGGTGTCCCGCCGGTGTCCCGTCCGTGTCTCGATGATGATGATGATGATGATGATGATGATGATGTTGATGATGTTGACGATGATGATGCTGATGATGGTGATGGTGGTGATGATGATGGTGTCCCGATGATGATGATGATGATGATGATGATGACGATGATGATGATGATGATGATGATGATGATGATGTTGACGATGTTGATGATGATGATGATGATGGTGATGGTGATGGTGGTGATGATGATGGTGCTCCGATGGTGATGATCTTGATGATGATGATGATGATGTTGCTGATGATGATGGTGCCTCGATGATGATGATGATGTTGATGATCTTGATGATGTTGATGATGGTCAGATGATTTGATTATGATGCTGATGATGAAGATGATGATGATAGTGTCCCGATGGTGATGATGAGGTTGATGATGATGCTGTTGATGATTATGGTGATGATGATGATGGTGTCCCGATGATGATGATAATGATGATGATGACGATAATGGTGTCCCGGTGATGATAATGATGATGTTGATGATGAGGATGATGATGAAGTGCTGATGCTGATTTTGAGGATGGTGGCCCAATGATGGTGATTATGATGCTGATATTGGTGATGATGATGGTGTCCCGATGATGTTGATGATGATGGTGATGACGTTGATGACGATGATGATGGTGTTCCGGTGATGATGATGTTGATGATGATGATGTTGCGAATAATGATGATGATGATGATGATGATGATGATGATGATGATGATGATGATGATGATGGTGTCCCGATGATGATGGTGTTGATGATGTTGTTCATGATGATGACGATGAGATGATGATGGTGATCATGATGGTGGTGTTCCGATGATGATGATGGTGTCCCGACGATGATGAGGTTGATGATGATGGTGATGATGTTGATGACGATGATGATGGTGTTCCGGCGATGATAATGTTGATGATGATGATGTTGCGAATGATGATGATGATGATGATGTTGCTGGTGATGATGGTGTTGATGATGTTGTTCATGATCGTGGTGATGAGATGATGAGGATGATGATCATGAGGGTGGTGTCCGATGATGATGATGATGATGATGATGATGATGGTGTCCCGACGATGATGAGGTTGATGATGATGATGATGGTGACGTTGATGGTGTCCCGATGATGATGACGATGGTCATGATGATGCTGTGGATGATGATGGTGATGAGCTGATGATGATGATGATGGAATCTCGATGATGTTGATGATGATGATGACGTTGATGACGATGATGTTGATAATGATGACGTTGATTGTGATATCGACTGTGATATCGATAGTGAGATCGATAGTTCGACCGAATGGGAGATCGATTGTGAGATCGATCGTGAGACCGATCGTGAGATCGATTGTGAGATCGATAGTCAGATCGATTGTGAGATCGATCGAATGAAATAGATCGAGTGAGATCGACTGTGAGATCAATAGAGTGAGATCGATCGAGTGAGACCGACAGTGAGATCGATAGTGAGATCGTTAGTGAGACCGATCGACGATCGAGTGAGACGTTGGTTTCTCCCCCCCGAACCTCCTTATCACCCGAAGGGTGGTCGTATAGGTAGTATATTGTTTCCCGAGCGGTACGGCCAGAAAGCTCGCGCCACGAAGCATAGACTGCAAGATGTCTCGGCGCGCGCGTCGCCCCTGGGGGGGCGACGCACACATGGTATTAATATGCTTGGGTCACGCCCACAAGAAGCCCGCGCGACCTCCGAAAATGATTGCTTCTCCTTCACTTCGACTCCGAATCCAGGCCTCCGCCGTCATAGTTTGTCATAGCCTTCACCAGCAAAAGTCTCGACCCCTTCCCGTGGACCAGCCTTTCATCCTGAGTCGTTGTTTGACAATCCTGCGGCCTGGCGCAAGGGTTCCTGGAGCCCGAAAACGGCCAAAAACCTCCCGTCGTGATTTTTCCGATGCAAGGGGTATTGAAGGAAGGATGGAGTCTCAATGAAGACACATGCAAATTAAGGTCTGGAACTCTTGTTTCGCGTGTCGCGGCAGCGGCCCCAGCGACACGCTACGCCCTGCGAGCGGATAGCGTGTCGCTACATTCCGCGGGGCGGGTATCAGAGAAAAAAGGGACGTTGACCCTCTGGAAATCCGACGTGGTCAGCGTGTCGCGCCGAAGGGTGGTGGGCTAGACCCGGCTGTGCGACACTCTGATCCAAAATCCCCGACCGCACGTTCCAACAAAAGCGCAGCGAGTCACCGGATGCGGCAGCTCGATGGGCTTGCCAGTCTTCTCGTCCACGACCTTGTACTTCTCCTTCACACGACGGCGAGGGTTGCGGCGATTGGACGGTCCAGCGAGCCCGCAACGGGCTCGCCACACCCTCTCCCGCCCATCCGCTCCGCCCCCCTTCTAGACGGGGGTTTCGTTTTCTCCCCCTCCTCCTCCTCCTCCTCCTCTCTTTCCCTTTCCCTTCCTTTGGAGGCGGCCCCCGAAGGAACCGCTCCAGCATGACTCCCACGAACTCAGCCACGAGTGGAGCCAGCAGCGGGTGGCACTACTGCCACTTCCGCCACCGCGCTGGGCTCCACGGCAGACCCCGACGACGACGACGACGACGCCGACGCCGACGACGAAAACGACGAAGACGACGATGAGGACAACACCGACGCCGACACTGCCGACACCGACGCCGACGCAGACGCAGACGCGGCGGAAGCGATGACGAGTCAGCGCGGCCGCCTCGGGGCCGGGCCCAGGCCTTCTGCGCCTCGGGCGTCGGGAAGACCACGGGGTCGAACAGGCGGGTGATGACGCCGAGCTGCAGCATCCGCCTGTGTACATCAGAACCGTCGTCGGCGTCGTCGGCATCGGCGTCGGCATCGGCGTCGGCGTCGTCGGCGATGGCGTTGGCGTCGGCGTCGGCGTCGGCGTCGTCGTCAGCGTCGTCGTCAGCGTCGTGGTCGTTGTCGTCGTGGTCGTCGTCGTCGCCGTCGTCGTCGTCGTCGTCGGCGGCGGCGGCGGCGTCGGCGTCGGCGTCGGCGTCGGCGTCGGCGTCGGCGCCGGCGTCGGCGTCGTCGTCGTCGTCGTGATCGTCGTCGTCGTCATCAAACTCAAGGTCCGTACTCCTCCTTCCCCAGCCTCCTCCTCCTCCTCCTCGATCTCATCCTGACCCCTCGCCATCCTCACCTCTTCTCTCTCCCTCCTCTCCTTCGTTCTACTGCTCCTCCTAAGGATCCTGCTCCTCCTTCTCCTCCTCCTCCTCCTCCTCCGCCTCCTCCTGCCTCCAGCCTCATCTTTTTCAGTATCAGCCCTCCCTCCTTAATGGTCTTTCCCTTCCATTTTGGAGCCCCTGGGGCTCCCTGAGCTTCGTGAAGGGTGCTGTGGACGGCATATATGGTCCAGGGTCTGGCCCCCCCCCCACCCCCTCATGCTGATGCCATCCGCCGCCCCCACCCCCCCGCGATGGCGTGTGGCGTGTGTGGCGTGCGCTGTGGTGCTCCAGGAGAGCTCCTGAGGTCGTCGTCGTCGCCGCCGCCGTCGTCGTCGGAGGGCTCCAGAGGTCGGCAACGGCGGCGGCGGCGCCGCCGCCGCCGTCGTCCTCGTCGTCGCCGCCGTCGTCGTTGTTCTCGTCGCCGCCGCCGTCGTCGTCGTAATCTTCGTCGAAGCCGTCGTCGTCGTCGCCGTTGTCGTCGTCGTCGGCGCCGTCGTCGTCGTCGCCGTCATCGTCGTCGCCGTCGTCGTCGTCGTCGTAGTCGTCGTCGCCGCCGTCGTCGTCGTCGCCGCCGCCGTCGTCGTCGCCGTCGTCGTTGTCATCGCTGCCGTCGTTGTCGTTGTCGTCGTCGCTGCCGTCGCCGTCCCCCCCCCCATTCCATCAGGGGGTCGGGGAGGGGCCGAGGGACCCTGGAACCTGTCCCATAGGGGGGGTGCCCGTGGGCCCGGAGCCCGGGATCATATATGCCCCCGCGGGGATCCTGAAGACAGCTTGGGTCAGGGACACCAGTTGTGGCAACCCCCAAGAGGTGGACATGGACGAGGCAGGAAGAGGAAGAGGACGCCTGAACTGGGCCTCGCACGTCGGTTTGAGAAGCATCTGCTTCCAGGCGTCGAACTTCATCGTCCTATAGTGCTCGAGAGCGTCCAGAGATAGCTGGGCCATTGTCCAGGAGGGGTCCTCCTCGAACCGGTACTCCACGCACTCGGAGGGCGTGAGGTCCTCGTACGTTATCTGGCAGCACCCCATGACGAGCGACGGAGCCCCCTGGCCGTCGACGACAGCTATGAATTCCTTGGTGTCGCCGCTGGGGGTGCTGCCGATGACAGCGAAGACCTGAGCAACACCCAGACTGGTGTCGCGCACACTGGGGCTGGGCGAAGGGGGATGGCACTCCGAAGGGGCAGGGTGCCGCTTGAACGGGGTCAACACCCTCTCGGAGGCCTCGAAAGAGCGGTGGCCGCCGACCTCCAAACGTCTCCCCAGATCACCTCCTCTGGAAGGCCTCCTGGAAGCCTCCGGTGCGAGGACCCCAGGGCGGCGGGCAAGGGCTCCCTCGGGCGCTGCCACAGTCGTTATTCACGGTGGCCCCAGCTTTCTCAGGGGAGCTAAGGTTGACACCAGAGCACCCCTCACGAGGCCAAGAAAGCTCCGACGTGGCGCGAAAAGCTGGGGGCACCATGACCCAGTTCAGGGGGAACGAAAGGGGGGGACTCGCTCGGGGGGCGAGTGACATCGACCTGGAATCAGCGATAGGCTCTCGATAGCACAACCAAGCGTTCCTGGGCGGGGTGGGCTACCAGAACCCCATCGGCGATGAAGAGGCGATTGGGACCGACGCATTCGCCCAGAATGGACACCAAACAAAAATCCACCCTGATTCTTCCGCGTAGACAAGAGGTGTGGCTTCCTGGGTGCCTCTCAAGTGGGGTCCGAGTTGAAAGTGCCAGGAGGGGGCGTCTGGAGATCCCTGGCCCGAACGGGCCGCCGAAGCCTTCCCCCTCCTTTGGGCAAGGTCGCGGCCTGGGAGGGAGCCGCGCACTGGGGGAACGCCGACGCGACGATGCCCTGCCGCACTGGCTCCAGCGGCCTGACAAGCGACGTCGGCGACGGGGACCACGGCGACAGGCGAACGACGGCAGTGCCGCGGCGCCGGCGGCGGCGGAGGCAGCGGCGACGACGACGACGCTGCTGCCGACGACGACAACAACGACGACGCATGGCCATCGAGGACGACGAGGGAGAGAGGGAGCGAGGAGTAGGAGGAAGACAGACGAAGCAGGAGGAAGCAGGGAGGAAGGAGGAAGTCGGAGGGAGCGGGAGGAGGAGCAGCATGGCAGAGAAGGGAAGAAGAAGGGAGGGGAAGGAGGGACTGGCAAGGAGGGGGAGTAAGATCGGGTCCTGAGGGAAACGGGTTCTGGATCCCGGGGCCCGTCCCTGGGATCGGAGCTTCAGCCCAAATCCTCATTTGACGTGTCTGGGGCATGAATGAGGTGAAAGACCTCGGGACCTGCTCTCACCTAGACATCCGACATCGCGGTTTTGTCACAGCCTGGCTCCCCAAAGATCTGGACCTCTTCCCAGGAACACGCTTTTCATTTTGAGTCGCTTCTTGATGGTCGGTGGCCGAAAACAGCAACAAAAACAGGCCGTCGTGATCTTTGCTTTCACGGCGAGAAAACGTCGGGGTCATTGCGAAACATGGTGCCCCCCCCGTGGTCTCAGACCCGATCGGGTGTTGCTAGAGGTGCCACTGGCCCAAGGTGTCCTCATCTCTTCACATCATTCTCGAGCCCCTGGGGCCTTCTGGGCCCGGTGAGGGCCACCCCGAGAATCCTGGTTGCACCTTGGGCCAGGGGCAATTCTATCAATACCCGACCCGAAGACCAGCGCACCGAAGCCGAGCACGACGCGGCCAGAAAGCTGTGCCCCGCCCTCCAGCAAGGCAGGGAAGGGGGCGGCAACCGGAGAGGGACCTCGTGTGCCACCTCGGCACGGGGGAGAAGGAGGGGGAGTCGGGGAGCAGGGGACGAGGAGCGTAGGGGGGATCAGACTACAACCGAACATACGAACACGAACATTAGAATGATAGAAATCTGGGCCACCTTCCGGAAGCTTCTTAAACCAGGCCTGGGCGGATGTCTGTTGTTAACACTTGAGGGGGCAAACGTTCTCTCGGCAGCGTTTTGGGAGGAGGTGTCATAATCAGATGCTCGACCGTAATGCCTGTAAACAGGTCGAATAGTAACACTAGAAAACCCTGGGGGAGGAGGCAACTCATGTTTCAAAGCGACTAAAACAATAATCTGGTAGGGACAATTGCAAACATAATTCTTCCCAACGCTGTAATCAGGAAGGGTTTGGATCGAACTGGTAACCGTGAACTGGCGGCTCCTGCAACCGAACCGCCCAAACCAGAGCCCAAACTGGACCGGCTGAAACTGAACCGGCTGATTCGAACCGAACCAGCCGATCGAAACCGGCCCGAACCTGTGGAACCGAAGCGGCCTGCCATTGGCCAAAGAGGCCTCCAGGACGGCCCAAGAGGACCCCAAGACGGGCTCCGTAAAGTTCCAGCGGCCGACGGCTCCAGGAGGGCTCCAGGACGGACCAAGAGGGCTCCAGGACGGCCCAAGAGGGACCCCAGAGGCTCCCCAGAGAGCTCCGAGACGCCCCCCGACGGATGCTACAACAGGGGAACATTGTAGCATCCGTTGGGGCCCTGTGAAGACCCAACGAGACAGCCCAAGAGAGCTATACGCCAGGGCGCCCCCAGAGGGCCCCAAGAGGGCCCCCCCTCCCCAGAAAGCTCGGAGACGGCCCCCCAACGGAAGGCCTCCGGACCTGGGGCCTGCGGACTGCCCGAAACGGAACCGTCCCGAGGCAAAACCGAACCGGCTCGAACCGAACTGGCGCCGAACACGAACCGCTACAACCGAACCGGCCCGTCGCCGAACCGACCCTGGCCCCATGCTGTGTAGCGCGCATCTAGAAGGAAGGAAGGCGGGGCAAACCGGACCGCCGGGGACGTCCCCGCGACCGCCCTAGCGCTCCGCGTGCAGGGCCAGAACCCTGCACACACTGTAGAATTTTTTCCAGGGGGAATCGAAAAACAGGAATATTCGGCGGCGACTTAATGGCAGTCGGGATCTGGGGGGGAGGGGGGGGCCATCATCTGTTACCAGGTTTGTTGACAGGGAAAGGGGGCCAGGAGGAGAAGGAGGAGGGCAGCAACTACACAAGGAACGCGACGGCGACAGCGGCTGCACTGCCACCCTCTTCCTCTTCCACCACCTCACGAACGACGGCGACGACGACGACGACCCAGACATCCGATGATATGAGTTCTTTTCAATGCGAGGCCACATGAGGTCCAGATCCTTTCTCTGGGGCCAAGTCTTCGCCGCGGCTCCAGATACTTGGGACGCGCCCCCGAGGCCCAGCTCGAGGGAAAACCGTCGGGATCGAAACAACCATATCGTCGGAGACTTGGGGATGAGGCGAAGTTAGAGGAACCAAAAACTGCGCAAATCTAAACTTGTCGAGGGCCGCATCGATTTCTTGGATCGGCGCTGGAATCCCCTCAATGGCGAGCGGAACGCGCCAGGGGCTGCCCAGAGGCGCCGCCAGGGTGACCCAGGCGCCGTCCCACGAAATCTGCACGGGCGTCCGAAAGTATATGGTCGGAGGTGAGGGGGTGAGATCGAAGTGGAACGGAGAGCCCCCCTACACTCAAATCGGTTTCGGTTTCGTGTTCGTGCGTGCCGTGCGTGCGGGCGAGGCGAAGCTGCGTGGGCGGGCGAGAAGAAAGTCTCCTCCGGCTGAGGAGCGGCCGGACCAAATGATTCTTTCCGGGGACCGGTGGCCCGAGGTGTCCCGCCGGTGTCCCGCCTCCGGCTGAGCCGCGGCCGGACCAAATGATTTCTTTCTGGGGGCCGGTGGCCCGCGGTGTCCCGCCGGTGTCCCGCCGGTGTCCCTTCGGTGTCCCGATGATGATGATGATGATGATGATGATGATGATGATGATGATGATGATGATGATGATGATGATGATGATGATGGTGGTGGTGGTGGTGGTGATGATGATGATGTCGATGATGTTGATGATGTTGATGATGATGATGGTGGTGGTGATGATGATGGTGTCCCGATGATGGTGATGATGTTGACGATGTGATGATGATGATGATGATGGTGATGGTGGTGACGATGATGTCCCGATGATGATGATGATGTTGATGATGATGCTGATGCTGATGATGGTGTCCCAATGATGATGTTGTTGATGATCATGATGATGTTGATAATGAAATGATGATGATGATGATGATGATGAGGTGATGATGGTGATGATGAAAATGATGATGGTGCCCCGATAATGATGACGAGGTTGTTGATGATGCTGTTGATGATGATGGTGATGATGATGGTGTCCCGATGATGATGATGTTGATGATGATGACGAAGATGGTGTCCCGATGATGATGATGATGTTGATTGATGATGAGAATGATGATGAGGTGATGATGATGGCTTTGATGATGGCGGCCCGATGATGGTGATGATGATGCTGATGCTGATGATGATGCTGATGGTGTCCCGATGACGATGATGATGATGATGATGATGCTGGTGATGATGATGATGATGATGGTGACGATGATGATGGTGTCCCGATAATGGTGATGCTGATGTTGATGATGATGATGTTGCTGATGATGATGCTGTCCCGATGATGATAATGTTGATGATATGGTTCATGATGATGATGAGCTGATGATGATGATGGTGGTGTTCCGATGATGATGGTGGTGCCCCGATGATGATGATGTTGATGATGATGATGGTGACGATGATGGTGCCCCGATGATGGTGACGATGATGATGTTGATGATGCTGGTGATGAGGTCATGATGATGATGATGGTGTCCCGATGATGATGATGATGCTGATGATGACGACGTTGATGACGATGAAGTTGTTGTTGATGATGATGATGATGACGTTGATTGTGAGATCGGTTGTGACATCGATAGTGAGATCGATAGTGAGACCGAATGTGAGATCGATTGTGAGATCGATAGTGAGATCGATAGTGAGATCGACTCTGATATCGATAGTCAGATCGATTGTGAGATCGATCGAATGAAATATATCGAGTGAGATCGATCGAGTGAGATCGATCGAGCGAGACCGATAGTGAGATCGATAGTGAGACCGATCGAGTGAGACGATGGTTCCTCCCCCCCGAACCTCCTTATCACCCGAAGGGTGGTCGTATAGGTAAATTATGCCGCTTGTTGTTTTTCAGGCAGTGTCTTGACGAGGCGTAGGCGCACTTCGCGAGGGACATGGATACCTCGCCCCCTTGGGGCTCCACATCTCGTGGTACCATTGCTTCGCGTCCACCCTTACAGGTCTCGTAGCTAATTTGATCACCCAACCCTGCCAGCGGACAGCGTGTCGCTCCGCTCCGCGGGGCAGGCGGTTGAGAGAGAATCGGGAATTTGACCCTCGGGGGCTGGGACGTGGATGGCGAGTCGCGGCGAAGCGCGGTGGGTCGGAATCGGCGGCGCGACACGCTGAGCCAAAGCTCCTGACCGCGATGCCACGAGCCCGAGCCACCAGCCCGAGACTGGACGAGCACGAGCCCGAGCACGACCGTAATGCCACCGGCCCGAACCCGAGCCTGGACGAGACGTAGGCGCACTTTGCGCCGCTGCCGTCGTCGAGGTCCAGCGCCTCCAGGGCGGCCGAAGCGCCAGCGAGCGCGCCCGCGGGCGCGGCGGCCGGCTCCTGGAGGCGGGCGGCTCCGAGCTGCAGCCCCCGCTCTGCTCCTCCTCCTCTCTCTCCTCCGTCCTCTCCCTCTCACCCTGCTGCCTCCTCCCTCCCCGCTCCTCCTCCTCTCCCTCCTCCAGCTCCCCTGCTCCTCCCTCTCCATCCTCCCTCATCTGGCTGCCAGCTCGGCCCGACCCCCCGACGCCAAGCCAGCATTATCGGCGCCCGCGCGCCGCCCGCGGGCCCCCCGGCCCCCCCAGCTGTCCTCCTCCCCCGCCGCGCCGCCGCGTCCCGCCTTCCCCTCTCAGCGCTGCCATGGATCCGGGGCCCTGCCAGAGGCCTGGCCGCCGTCCCAATCGCAAGGCCGCCGAGAGCCGCGCGCAGTGCGCGCGGGCGCAGGGCCGGGCAGCCCTCCACCTCATGAAGGCCTTCGCCGAGATCGAGGCCCACTGAGGTCAGGACCTGTCCTTCCTCGGTAAGGCGCTGCGGGAGGCGCTCGCAGAAGGACTGATTGGAGGGTCCGCAGCCGCTGAGGACGTACACGCAGAACAGGGTGGACGTGAAGGGCGGTGCCCAGGACCTAAAGATGGCCAAGCACCCGGGCACGCACAGGGTACTCCCCTTTTGCCCCTTGGCACTTCGGCGTCCTCCGTCTTCCCTCCTGTTTTGCCCCTTGGCACTCCTCCTCAGGTACGTGTACGGGCCCCCTCCTCGGCAGCCTTGGCGCACTCTGTTTCGTCACTGAGTGCCGCAGCCCCGCGCTCCTCACAGCCTTCCCTCAACTCTCAAGCACCGCGTGTCACAGAGGTGGAGGCGCAGGCCACCCGCAGGTTTCTCTCTGCCACGCGTACCTGGCCAGCGGCCCCGATGCCGGTACGCGCGGACTCAGCGCCGAGGTCGCAACCGCCGATTCCCAAGACAGCCCACGGCCTTTTGTCGCCAGCACCCGAGGCTGCTGCGCGGCGAGCCGCATCACCCGTTCCTCCGCTGCCTTTGGGGCGCCCTACATGGGATCTGTCTCCGCCCCCCCAGAGCCTTCCAGCCGCAGCTCCAGCCGTAGCGCCTGACCCATATTCCCCTCCTCCTCCGAAAGCAACCTCCCCCTCTCCTCCTTTTGCTCGCTTCATCGAGTTTCGGGACGTAGAGGCTCTGCGTCGCAATATCGTGTCAACCTCAGGTCATTGAAAGGCGTACTTGCTCCTAGGCAAGGCCAGCTGGTGGGCAGATGACTGCCTCAGCCACCCGTGCCAGCGGTCGGCGGCACACGCCCTCCGCCTTCCGCTCGTTTGGGGGTCCATCGTCACATGCGCTTCCTCTCTTACGCAAGTACCCAGGCCAGACGGCTCGAGGGAGCCATCGACTGGAGGCCACTCGCCAGTGTCTCCACGTGCGCTGCTCCACCACCTTCTGGGGAGCTTTTTGGCTTTGGACTTCGTATTTGTTCGCACTGGCCGTTGAATAGTCACTGTCGCAGGTTGACCTGGATGCTCTGGCAGTCCTCATCTCTCCATTCCTCCTTGCGCCACAGGTCCTCTCACGTGCTCCCTCAGTCAGCACTTCGGCAAGGATTGCTTTTACTGCAGCGGATGCCATGCGTTGCGAAGCCCCAGCCGAAACAGTCGGCATTTTGTGTATGGGTAGGACTTCCAAGTTCTGGCTCCACACTTCCATGTTGTATCTCAGCGCTCTCTGTTACCTTCCCCGCTGCACTAGTAGTTCCCCGCTTCCTGCCTCCTGCTCCGATCTCTGGGCTCACATCAGGATGGCGATATAGGTGTGCGCCGCTCAGCCCTATAGGCAGCGGACAGGCCTGGACATCCGGCCAGCCTTGTTCAACGTCATCCACGCACCTTGCTATCAGCCCTGTAGGTCTTGGCAGTATCTCTGGCACACTGGTGCGCCTAACGCTGGAGTTCGGTGGCTCACACTCCAGGGCCCACGTCTGGCATAGTCTTTTATGCGTGCCTCAACTTCCCCCGTCCACCCTCCTCCCTGCGAAACTTGGCATCGTTATCCATTCAGCGCTTGGGCTCTATTGGGCTCTATTGGACGCAGGACATGATGAACATGAAGGGCGGTGCCCAGGACCTGAAGATTGCCAAGCACCCGGGCACGTAACTACAGGGTACTCCCCTTTTGCCCCTTGGCACTTCAGCGTCCTCCGTCCTCTCCCCTGTGTTGCCCCTTGGCACTCCATCTCAGCTACTTGCACAAGCCCCCTCCTCGGCAACCTTGGCTCCGTCCTCCCTCCCTCCAGCTTCCGCGGCATCTTCTAAGGAACCCCCTCCCTCCCTCCACCATCCAGCGCACAGCGCTGCTGGCAATGTCTTACCAACATGGGATGCTTGCCTGCCGCCATTTTGGCCCCTTTCCAGCTCCATCCCCATCTTTTGCATGCGCTATGCAGCGGGCTTCCAACGGGCTCGAGGCCTCTTCTCTTGCCCAGCACTACTCTCGGCCGAGAAGGCTGCCCTTCTAAGGGCAACGGGACAAGGCTCCGCAGTGGCCCCTGAGCACGGATCAGCCTTCCCCTACCTCTCCGAACAGCATCCTCCTGCCTATCCTCACTGCCCGTCTAGCTGACCCAATACCTCTCTCGCGACAGTTTTCAGGGTGAGAGCGGACGCGGTGCTGTGCCCTTGCTCCCGAGTTGTTGAACGCCCACTGGCCCACCTGAGGCCCACACCGCCCAAGCTGATTGTTGAAACGAGCCTACTTAAGTCAAAAGCCTCCCTCCTCGCTCCTTCCCCCTCCCTCCTCCCTCCCTCCTGCCTCGTGCCTCCTCCGTGCGGAGGCACACGAGACGTGAATCCAGGTCCACAGCGCTGCCCGCGCGCCGCCCAGAAGAGACAGGAGCACGCTCATTGCAAAGCCCTGCGTCGCAGACTCACTCACACACACACAAACACACACACACACACAAACAAACACACACACACACACAAACGCACACACGCACACGCGCACACACGTGCACCATCCCTCCTCCTCCAGCTCCTCCTCCTCCTCTTCCTCCTCCTTCGCCCCACCCTCTTCTTCCACTATCTGGCCTCCTCCTGCCTCCTCCCGTCCCTCCCTCCTCCCTCCTCCCTCCTCCCTCCTTGCGGCCGGCGCGGACTTTGTCACGCCCCGGCTGGTCGAGCGGAAGAAGCTGGAAACTGGACTCGTGACAGCACAGATGCTGGAAACGGGCAGGCCACCTCCCGTGGGGGCACAGCTTCGCCGACCCGCCAGAGTCTCCTCGGCGAGCGAGATGGCTGGCCCCCCCCCCGTCCCAGACATCCGACGGCACGACTCGTCTCCACCAGCGGCTCTTCTCCACGTGGGCCTCCAGGGCCAGCCATCGGGCCTCCAGACCACGAAGCAGGGCTTCGAAGGGGAAACCTGGCGCCCTGCCCGGCCCCAGGAGGGGGGTCGGGGCCTCCTGTGCGTGCGCGCTCGCGAGGCTCTTCGCCCGGGCGGCGCGCAGATATCCCGACCGGGCGCGACGGCGAGGGGGAGCGCACCATGGCCCGAGGCGAGTGCGCGGACGGGGGGTGGCCGAGGGGGACGCGCGGTGCAAAGGACACAAGGACAGCACAACAAAAGCAGCAAACATAGGAGGCCATGGCATCTTGGAGATTTCACGGCCTTGGCCATGATATCCGCCGCCCCCCAATCTAGAGAGCGGATCACCCACCCTCACAATGAGCAGCCCAACAAGCGAAGCCATGTAGCAAACGCGCCCAAGGACCCAAGGAAGGAATCGAACAGGGAAAGGCCGTTCTAGTAAGAACCCACGGCCGATAGATAAACGCCAACTATCGGGGTCGGGGTGGCTTCCCCCGCTTGATACTCACCACCCTCCTCTTGGACACCCCGAGGGGCACACTGGTTCTGGGCCCAGGATGGGCCCGGCCAGGATCGCGGGGGGCGCTTGTCGGGCGCCGCCTCTGTCTTGTCGGCTACAGCAGAGAGCAACAAGTCCACCCTCATAATGGACACCCCGACAAGCGAAGCCGTTTAGTAAGCGCACCCAAGGAAAGAATCGGACAGGGCAGGGCTGTCTAGCAAAACGGCCAGGGGCTCCTCCTCCTTTTCCTCCGTTTCCTCCTTTTCCTCCTTTTCCTCCTCCTCCTCCTCTTCCTCCTTCCTCCTGCTTGTCTGAGCTGTGCAGTGGCACCTGCGTTTCCCTCGCGCCCTTTATGGGCCCGCCCTCGTGCGAGCGGGGTGAATGAATGAATGCTCCTCCTCCTCCTCCTCCTCCTCCTCCTCCTCCTCCTCCTCCTCCCTCCTCCTCCTCCTCCCTCCTCCTCCTCCTCCTCCTCCGCCTCCTCCTCCGCCTCCTCCTCTTCCTCCTCCTCCTCCTCCTCCTCCTCCTCCTCCCCCTCCTCCCAGCCGCCTTCGATCAGGCTCAGGACGCAAGCGTCGTCGGCCCCTCCGTCCTTCCCCGTCCCTCGCCTCTCCCCTCCTCCGTCCTCCGCCGCCGCAGTGACCGCTCCCTACTGCGACTGGCGGCTGGCAGCGCAGGCGGCGCCCGCGTCGGATACGGCGGTCAGCCCGTCCGCTGGGGCCGCGTGCCTGCCCCGCTGGGCGCCACAGCGAGGCGATGGGATGCCGTGCTCCGCCGCGGCTCGCCGTGCCGCGCGGCCGCGGCGCCCGCTGGGAGGCGGCCGGGCCCCCTGCGCGGCGCGCTGCTGCCGCGCTGCATGCCGCTGGAGGGCGCCCGCTGGGAGGCGACCGGGCCCCCTGCGCGGCGTGGGTCCCGCTCCTGGAGGGCGCTACGGGCTGCTCGCGCCCGCTCGCCCCCCTTGGGCGTGAAAGGAACGCACACGGCCGCCGCGGGCGGCCCGCGCTGGCACTGGCCCGCTGGTTGGCGCCTGGCCGGCGCGGCGCTCCGGGACCGCAGAAGAAGGCTCGCCCTCTCCCCCCTTGTACTGCTCCGTCGGCCCGTTTGGGGTCGACGACCAGGACTCGATGCTGGGATGCGCGGGCCTGGACCTTCGGAGGCGGCCGCGCGAACGCCCGCCTCTACGTTTCGCGCGTCCTCCTGCGCTCCTCTTCCTTATGGATTACTCCTCCCTGTCGCACACCGAGACGTGTCGGTGGGGCGGTCCGTGCATGTCGCTTGAGACTTCCTTACCATGTATGATCCTTAAGCTTGGAATGTGCAATAACGTCAAAGATGGAGGGCGGGTCGCTTTCAAAATGAAGCTCTCGCCCCAGCCCCGGGCGAATTCTTACTAAAACTTTGCAGAAGCTTCACGGATGGATTGCCGGTCGTGTTCACAATGTAGTTTTCGCCTCAGCGACGCGCATACTCGTTTTAAGAACAACAAGAACTTCGCGGATGGAGGGCAGTTTCTTTCCAACATGTGGCTCTCGCCTGGGCTCCGCGCACAATCGTCTACTAAGTTTCCAAGCGCTTCACGGATGGAGGGCGTTACCTTTTCAAAATGTGGCTCTCACCTTAGCGCCGCGCACATTCGCCTTAAGAGCTTGTAGCAGTTTCAATGGTTATCACGGCTAACGTCCAAGAAATGGTGTTCTGGCGCGATGTCGGGTTGTCAGGGCGCTTCAGTTACGTTGATTCGCGGTGTGGAAGTCACGCAACAATAAGGTTGATTCGTGGAGCTGAACCTCCAGGAGTGGTACCGTGCCTGGCACGGCTCAGGATGCTCAAACGGTTGCCCTCCAACTGGGCACTTCCCTTAGTGGAAATGGATAACTGTAGGGGCCTACGAAGAGGGAGATTGGAGGGAGTGTGCCTTGCAACATCGCTGGTGATCATGGGTTTACACTGGTCTTCCTCCTGCTCCTCCCTCGCTCCCTCCGTTCATCCCTCCCTCCCTCCCTCCTCCTAACCCATCCTTTCTTCTTTTCCTCCTCCCCGTCCTGCTTGTTCTTCTCCATCTTTTTTCTCATACATAAATCATACATGTCGCTTCCCCAGGCTTCTCGGTAGGGCGGGCTGGGCATTTCGTCGGATATCTTCTCAGCGAGTGTCAACTTCAAGGATCGAGGGCGGGTGGTGTTCAACACGTCGTTGTCGCCTGAGCGCCGCTCATATTCGTCTCAAAAGTTTGTCGCATTGTCACAGATCTCTAAGGTTGAGATCCCAGAAGTGGTGTTCTCGCACGATTTACGAATGTGAGGTCGCAACGGTCACGTTGATTCGCTGTGTAGAAGACCGAAGAACTGCGTCCTGGCACGATTAGGATATTCAGGACGCAAGAGTCACGTTTATTCGCGGCGTTGAAGACCCTGCAATGATGCCACGGTTTGTTTCTCAACTGGGCACTTCCCGCCATGAGGAACATCTTGTAGGGACCTATGGAGAGGGAACTCGGATGGAAGGTTTAAAACAACGTCCTTGATGCGTCTTGGGTTTAAACTGGTCCTCCTATTCCTCCTCCTCGGGCTCTGGGGTGTATGCTTCTCTCTTTACTACCTGAGACATGTTGGTCCGTCTGCCGAGGGCTACACATATGTCACATTTTGCCAGTGGGTGTATCACTTACGGAAGCTCCCTTGTGGCCGCGTCCTGGATGGATGGCCAGTCCACTGTAACGTGTGTGATGAGTTCCAGGCCTGTTGACGACATCGTGGTTGACCGCCTAAGTGTCCTCAAAGTAAAGGCGCACACGTCCCCGGTAGCGCTGGCCCCAAGTGGCTGGGCAGTAAGCTTGCCGACGCCCCGGCTGAGACAGGGGTTACGAGGCACGAGTTCACGACCTGCTCCCAGACAGGTTGGCCAGATCCGAGGTTCTAGTTATTTCGATGTGTGAGTTCCTCGGCGTAGTAATGGCTTGGGATTTCATGATATCCCCCAGTCGTAGGGGAAGATTGAAACGTCCCAGTCCCTGTCTACGTTCCCCACCCTCCCCTGGACCAGCGCTGGTCCAGTATGGCACAAGACCTTCTGGGACTCGGAGGCTGGGCGGTATAGATGTTCGGCCTCCTGGAGCAGTGCCCTAGATCAGTTGTCCCTCGCCGCCACTCCATGTCCCACTCCCCAAGGGAATGGCCATCAGATGAGGCGTCGTGAGCCCATTGTGTTTTGCAACCGCTGTGGCTTCCATTTCACCCGCCAGGTTCTTAATTGCGTGAAATGTGCCCCTCTCACCCCCCGTCGCAATAGACTATGTATAGGCTCCGTTGGCTGCGTGACGGGCGAGACCCCAGGAAAGGCACACCCGCAGGTGATGTCGTACCCATGGATCGGGTATCGCCTGCTTATGCACTCCCCGATGTGCACGATAACATCTTCGCGGACCCCTCTCGCCTCTCGCCAGCCTCTGCTGCGAGGCATGTGATGTTGTGGGATGTGTGGGTGAGCAGATTGTGGGTGAGTTGATCGTGTGATTTCACACCTTTTGTCCAGGTGTGCCCCGTTCGTCTGACCCATTCGGTTTCACTCGTCTTGCGTCTCTTCTCCTTGCGTCCAAATCCAAATCACCCTCCGCCTCCAGTCACGACGCCGACGACGGAGACGACGGCAGCGGCGACGGCGGCGACGACATTGGGGGAATCAAAAAATATTGATACTTATGCGGCCCAGACTCTGGGGTGCGTTCTGACCAGGATCTCGAGGCAAGTCCCGCGGTGGCGACGAGGGCCACCCAAGAAGCCCCCAAAGGGGAAAACAAGGGGGTAGCGGTATCTGAACCTCTTCCTCCTCTGAACATCGACACCGACGACGGCAGCAATCAAAATCCCCCTCCACCTCCAGTCACGACGCCGACGACGGCGGAGGCGACGGCGACGGCGACGGCGACGATGACATCGACACCGGCGACGGCGGCAACGACAGCGGCGGCGGTGGTGAAGTGCGAAGAGGTGCGGAGGGCAGCCCCCCCCCCCCCGAGCGAGAGAGGGGGTCGCGCAGCGCCGCTCCTCGCCGCCGGGGGCCTCCGCGGGCTCTGTCGCTCCCTCGGGGGTGTGGTCGGGGGTGGGGAGGTCGGCAACGACGTTTCCCGAGTTCGGTGGCTCAAATCGGGGAGACGTCAGACTCGGGATCGGAAAACTCGGGCTGCCCTGGCGGGCCATCATGAAAATGGCGAGGCGCAGTCTGAAATTTGACGCGAGCTCCCTCTGCAAACATCCCACGAAAACTGGACCGTCAAAATCCAGGACACGCTCGTCAAAAAGCGTCGGCAAACCGAGCCCCCGCGCACTCGAGTCCTACGTTTCCCTAGTCAAAGATGGGGTCCTGCGGGATGGGATCCTAAGGACGAGGTGCTCCAAACAACGCAGATCCACCCTTGAGCCCCTTCTGACCCTTGGGCCCCCATACCTCGGGACCCCATCTCTCAGGCACCGACCGAGGGTGGGCCACGATTGTTCGAGGACCGAACGATTGCACAAGTATCCGTTTCCCCGGGTCCGCGCGGAGTTCTGGAGCCCCCCGGCGGCGCCTCTGGCGCCCCTCTTCTCTGGCGCGCTCTGCGCGCCAGGGAGGGGGGTCCAGCGACGATCCAAAAAATCCGCGCTCCGAGAATTCTTGCTTGTGACACTATTTCTTCGCATCGTTTTGTATTGTCTTGGAACGGAAAGACAATTTTCCCGTCGCGGCATGGGAGAAACGATCCGCTCGCGCGATCGAGTTGCCGGGGGCTCTCGGCAGACTGAACGTCCCGCTGCAAGAGGAAGAAAGGAGCGGGGGGGAGCGGCCGCGGAGGACAGGAGGGGGAGGAGGGCACCCACCGCGGACAGAATTTCGGGATGCGCGCGGCGGGAAAGGAAGGACAGGAACGCCGCACGAGGCGGGGTTGCCGAGCGCGCGCAGCCTGCCGCTGTCTGCCGGGGCCCGACGCACAGCAGCCCCCGCCCACCCTCTCGAGGGGCGGGGGCGCGGTGGCCCTCGGCCGTGGCCGCCCCGAGTTCACCGGACCTCCAGCCGCTGGGTGTTTTTTTGTTGCATGCGTCTTCTGCGCTCCTGGGCCATCGGGGGCGAGGGGACGGGGAAGGGGAGGAAGAGGAGGAGGAGGAGGAAGAGGAGGAGGAGGAGGAGGAGTGTCATGAGTGTCATAGATCCAAGAAGTGAACGGCGAGCGAGGCTCAACCGTCACCCTCGGCCTCCCAGACAGGAGGAAGGGGCCCGCAGGCGCCAGCACCGACGGTCAGGGGAAAGGCAGATACCTCGTCGCTCAGCGACTCGGTGCCCAACCGAGACGGCGTGGTGCGTAGGGGGACAGCCGGTTCACCGCGTCACCGCGCAGTACTTCCCGACCGTCACCCCTGCCGAATCGGATGGCATGTGCAAGTGGGTTTGTACCCCAGGGTGAGCGGACACAAGGTCCCAAGGGACTTACGGACCACATGGCCTCTCCAGGTCTCGGGCGCAGCTAACGCGCCGCTGCCACGCGCAAAGTGCCACGTGGCTGGTGCAAAAACGACGAAAGCCCGTTTATCTGCCCCCAGCCGCCGCATGCAATTGACACTGACGGTGTGCCCCGAGTGTGTGGCGCTGACACCATGAGAACAGGTGCCAGGCCCCCACCCTCGGGGCAAGGAGGAGGAGGAGGAGGAGGAGGATGAGGAGGAGGGAGGGGGGGACGAAGGGGGGGGCGGAGGAGGGGGAGGAGGAGGGAGGAGGATGGAGGTGGGAGGAGGAGGGAGGAGGAAGGAGGGGCAGTCAGGGTCGTGCTCCTCCGCTTCTTGCCCGAGGGTGGGGTGCGATGTTGTGGTGGTCTCTAGCTGTTGGCGCCTGCTGCGCTCCTCCGCCCTCTGTGCTGCGCCCTCTGCGCTGCTCCTCCGCGCTTCCCAGGCGCACAGAATTGGGAGTGGAAAGAGCCCCCTTTCGCGATAGGCCCTTTAGTGTAGGGAAGGCTGCCAGGGGCACTTCACGTGCGCACGGCACCGCATTCCGAGGGTACCCCAGCGGGGCAGCTCATCAGCGTCCAACTGAAGACGACCGACTGTGTTCAGAGAAGCGCAAGCCCATCAGCGAAATCGACTGGGGACTGCACTGGCACACTCGAATGCCAAGGTCGAGTGCACTGGTGCAGCAGATGTCCTCAGTCGACTTGCCTGGGTGGGCGTTCTGAATGCCCGACAACCATCGTGCCTACCATGAGGAACGCCGAATGAGAAACGACGGGGCTTCTATGGCCTCAGAGGCGCCTGGGCGCAAAAGGAGCGCTGGAGGAACAACCATGCAGGGACACCGATGAACAACAAGCCCGCTCCGAACCCGAGCTGTTTCTTATTTCAGCGTCGCGGCTGTATGTTGCTGGGCCTTCTTTCGCGAGCTTGCAGCCTCAGATCCATACACCTTCGCGGGCCCCCTCTGACAGGCTGGAGGACGCCAGCATACATACTTGGACTCCCCTTCCAATGGTCGGTTCGTAGTTCTGTAGGGTCCGTGATGGACAGAACCCCTTTTAGTAAAACGTGGTTTAGTGACAACGACCTCGGGCCCAAACCTGGCGGGCGCAAGCCTGGCGCATGACGGCCGCGGCGCCCTCTCGAGAACCGAAAGCGGACAATTCACTAATCGACGTGTCAGGGTGGGGGTTCTGTCCACCCCCGATATGGCGGCTGTCCGAAGGATGCGCTCAGGAGACGATCGGGGGTATTGCAGGGAAGGGGCGGCGACAACGCGAGGAGGAGCGCGAGCTTAAAATCTGGCCCCTTTTCCATAAGATGGCCTCCAAGACAGCGAGGATCCAGAAAACCCCAAGAGGCACACAACAGGCCCCCAAGAGACCTCAAACGGGCCCAGGAGGCAACCAGGGCCCCCCCCAACATGCCTCAAACATGCCTCCGATCGGCCTCCAAGATGCTTCCCAAGAGACCCCCAACTTACATCTAGCAGGCCTCTCTCCACGGCCTGGACACGGTGGCAGGTTGGGCCGCAGGCCATGCGATAACTTAGCTTATGGAGCTTCGCGTACATGTGCGAATGCTCTTTCAGAGGCCCGGACCGCCCGCGTCCGCGCGCTCTTGGGCACTCTCGCGAGCTCATGGGACTTGTCGCGTGGCTCTTGTCCAAGCCTGGGGCAAGTTGTTGGGATCCAATATTTCAAGGTGCCCGAAGATAGCGTCCCTGGCCCCGTGCTAGAGACGTCCAGGAGGTGTAATTGCCTGTCTTGGAGGTCCTCTTGGGGCGGCGCACCAAGATCGTCCAACAAAAACAAAATAAGGCTCTGGTGTGGTTTTAACTTTCTCGCCGTTTCTGTCCGCACAGCGTCCAGGACGGCCCAAAAGGCCCCCAAGATCGCCCAAGACTCACCCTGGAGCTCCCGAGAGGGGCCCAGATGGTACCAATACGGCGCCAAGTGGGGCCCCCAAAGCGCGTCAACGCCAGACGGCTGGAAGCCTCCCCTCTAACATGGACCCAGGAGTCCCCAGAGGCCTGCAAGGGATCCCAATAGGCCCCCGCGAGGCCTCAACAGGCCCCCAAGAGGACGCCCTGGGAGCCCCAAGCAGCCTCCCAAAGGCGTCAGATTTACGACCCAGCCACGGTGGTGGGATGGGGAGGGCCACTAGGCAGTGGATTTTTTAAGACGATCCTATTCCCAGGATGCTGCAGGCGGTGAATGTGCGGTCTCCCGAGGGGGGAGGATCCCCCCGAAAATTCCAGGGCGTCCCAGAAACTGCAAAACTGACCTTGAGCTTGAAAAGCCACAGAAAGAACTTCGCAAAATCACATCACCGTCGTCGTAAGCCTCGTTGCCACCGCCGTCTTCATCGTGGTCTTCACCGCCGTCGTCGTCACCGCCGCCGCTGTCGCCATCGACATGGAGGACGATAAATGACCGACTCCAGAAACCTTGGGTATGTCGGCAAATGACTTCTTCTGGGAGAGGCCAACCGTTGTTTCCGCCGAATTCCCGCCGAACTTCCGCCGGCAAAGCCGCCTCGTCTTGCTTGAGCCAGATTCTGCGGACCGTCCGCTGACTTCCACCGAAGACAGAAGATCGACCCTTCGATTTCTACTAGGAGAGGCCCTCTTGAAGCCGCTAGAACCACATCGCCGTCGCTGCCGCCACCGTCGCCGTCGCCGCCGCCGCCGTCGACATCCTCGTCTTCATCGATGTCGCCGACGGCGCTGGCGACGACAAAAGCCCCCAGAAATCGATCCCAGACCTGGGGCGACGACGGGGACGGCACCGATGCTGGCGGCGGCCGCGGCGACGACAGCGACGACGGCGACGGCGATGCCGCCGCCGCCGCCGCCTGCGGCGACTGCTACGATGTCCTCGACGGCAACGTTACCGAAGTCGGTGATGGTTTGTTCTCAACGACCCCTTCCCCCGGACCAGCTTTTTCCATCCCGAGTCGTGTGTTGACGCTCCTGGGGCCCCCCGAGGGCCCCCAGAGGCCGAAAGCTGTCACCGAGGCTCCCGTCGCGCCTTCTCCACGAGGGGGTCTGGACAGGCGCCGACGTCGCCGACGGCGGCGGCCGGCGACGCGGGCGGCGATCGGCGGCGGCGGCAGCGCCGCAGCGGCGGCCGGCGACGAGAGCGGCGGCGGCCGGCAGCGCCTTGCGGGTGCCGCAGCTCTGCCCCATCATGTCGGGAAGGCGCGCGATCGCAGGCGAGGGGCAACGCCAGGGGGCCAGGTGCTCGTGCTGGGGACCTGCCTGGAGCCTCTCGCTGCACTCATGCCTCGATGCTGCGACGAACGTCCGTTGACTTGAGTCGAGCTCGAGCCGAACTCGAGTCTAGAACTAGAATCGAAATAGAAAGTCGAAGATATCCGCTTGGTGGACCCCAGGAAGGTCCCCCGAACGAACAACTCGGGGGGGAAACTGATGGCTCGAGGCTCGGGGTTCGAGGTTGTCGGACGTTTTCGGCGGGTCGGTTCGGGTCCGTTTTCGGCGGCTTCCCGGCCTCGGAGTGCCTTCCACTGTCTGCATCTCGCCGAGAGCGTTCCAATGGTTCCGGGATCGTCCCCAACGGCCGCCGGAGGCCCGAGACTTGACCCGAAAACCACCAGTGGACCAGCTCAGGGGGAGAAACATGGACTCGGCGATACATCGCCGACAGATCGGCGATGCGCCCCAGACAGCGAACCCGCACGTGCTCCCGGGCGGGTGGGCTATCGGGCCCCTGTATCGGCGATTGGGCGTCGATGTCTCCCCCCCCTGGGAGCCTATGGTCGGAAACTGTTGCTCAGCTTGTCGCGGCGGCGGCCCCGAAGACACGCCATGCCCTGCAAGCGGACAGCGTGTCGCTCCAGGGCGGGAGGCTGGGAAAGGAGGGAGTCGCTGAAAATGGGAACGGGACGGAAATAGCGTGTCGTGCCGAAGCCCCGACCCCATCCGCGGATCCAGTCTCCCGCCCCGGATTCATGTTTGATGGCCCCAAGGCCCAAATCGAAGACAACAAGATAAAACCAAAACTCAAACCGTCGGAGATCAGGGACGGGCGGCGCGACACGCCAAAAAAACGACCGCATCCCGCCCCCCGTGACGCTGCCCCTCCAGAGGGGTCGCGGGGAGGGGCGCCCCGCTCGGCGCCCAGGCTGCGGCAGGAGCCGAGGACGCCGTTACCGTGGCCGCAGCGCCGCCGTCGCCGCCGCGGCCCCGACATCGCGGCCACGAGTGCTCGTCGTCGGTCGCCGCTTCTGGCGGCCTCAAGTGGACGCCTCCGCAGCCTTCGTCGCCGCCGCAACGGCCCCGCCGTCGTCGTCGCTGCTTCTGGCGGCCCCAAGCGCCTCGGTGCCACGTTCGCCAATGTGGGACCAGAGGTGCTACGTGAGACCTGGTGGAACATCGCGCGGACAGCAGCGAGCTCAGAGGATCTCCCTGCTCATGCCGCCGCGACGGAGGTCTGAGGATTTGCTGGCGGTTGTCTGTGCGAGTTACGGCAGCTCGGTCGCGGTACAAGCTCAAGAGCAGATCTACAGATGCGGGGTGGGCACCTTGGTGAAGTAGACCCTTCCACAAGCCGTCGCGTTCGACTGTGTCGAAAACCAGTGGGGAAACCAAAAGGTACAGATACTGCTAATCCCCAGACCTCTCCCGGGGTGCGTTCTGACCAGAACTTCGAAGCGAATTCAGCGGTGGCGACGAGGACCTCCCAGGAGGCCCAAAAGGAGGAACACGAGGGGATTGTAGCGGTATGGGTACCCATTCCTCCTCCGAACCAATGTTTGAAATCCGTTCCTGCAACCCATAGGCTTGGATTCCAGTCACATGCTCGTTCTCTTGTGTTGGTAAAGTCGCCGCTGTCGCCGCCGACGCGGTCGCGGCCGCCGCCGCCGCCGTCGCTGGTGTCGCCGCCGCCGCTGCCGCCGCCGCTGCCACCGTCGCCGCCGCCGCCATGCCCAGGAGCGAGGGACGGGGCAGGATCGACAATCGATGCTCGAGGCTTTGAGGTCCCGAGGACCGATGTTCGTCGATCGAGGCCACTCCCAACGCGCGCGCGCGATCTCATCGGCAAAACGCCAGCAGTGAGACCCTGGGCGAGAGTGATCTCCGGTGCGCGGCTCAGGGTGACACTTGTTCGATCGCGGCCCGGGAGGCTGGCTCCGACACCCGTCCCTGCGGGGCAGCTGCCAGCCCTGGACCCGTTTCTGATGATCCTGGGGTCCAACAGCGACCCCCCGGGGCGCCAAGATCGAGGAAAAACCACGAGGGATTGCAAAAAACATCGTCGGAGATCTGGGGCGCGCGACGCCAGCCCTCGGGCGTTGCCTCATGGAGGGTCGACAAGCGGGGGCAACTTTGCCGCACCTTCGGGCCTCCTTTCGGGCCCCTCTCCTGTGACCCTCGATTCCCCCCCCCCCCATCCCGCACATTCGCGATCCCAGAGGACCCGACCCCTCGCCCAGGACCAGTTCTCCACCCCAGGTGGCCCCAGGGCCCGACAGAGCCAGGCCCCGGAGGCCCAGATCGGGCAAACACCGCCAGCTGAAAAAAAGAGCATCTCGTCGGAGATCTGGGCTCATCGCCCCCCCATGAGCAAGGCCGTTCACGGCGACAGCAAAATCGAACACCAACCGAACCGACAGCGAAACCGAGACCGACCGAAACCGACAGGCCGCAGGCAGCCCAGAAGGACGCAGCGACGCAGCATCGACACCACAACTGACCAAGCCGAACCGACCGAACTCGAACGACTGCGACGCAGACGGACCCGCCAAACTGCGGACACCCTTTGATCGCGAAGCGCCGATAGAGGACACATGGGATCGGAGGATACATCGGAGGATCGGAGGAGGATCGGAGGATCGCGCCGCATGGGATCGGAGGAGGAGGAGGATGATACATGGGATCGGAGGATGCATGGAATCGGAGGCTCGTGCCGCATCGCCGATGCATCGGTGACGTCGGCGATGCACTGGCGCCGTCGGCGTAGCGAGCGTCGGGCTCCGCATCGAGCCGCAGTGGCGTTTGCATCTGCTGTGCGGCGCGAGCTTCCGACCCCATCTGCTCAGACCCCATCAAGGAGGCCCAAAGCTTGGCGGCGCACACACAGGGGGCAGGGGGAGGGGGGGAAGGCTTCTTAGGAGGCGCGGGCCCCAGACCTACAGACGAGGCCCGCGCCTTCTCAGAAGCAGGGGAGCAGGGGTGCTTCTAAGAAGCCTTCCCCCTGATCAGGGGCCGACCGTCCCGGCATTCCTACAGGCCTACCACGACATGTTCTTAGAAGCCCAATATGTTCTAAGAACAAAACCGAGTGTTCTTAGAACATAAACCCGATGTGTTAGTACAAGACAGTCCCAGCCAGAACTGTTCTAAGAACATGTCGCGGAAACCACAGAGGGTTCTTAGAACAGTGTGTGGTAGGCCCATAAGCACGCTGGGACGCTTCGCCACTGCTTGATTCCCCCCCCCTCCTCCTACCCCACTGCGCGTGGCCGGCTAGCGGCTAGAGCCCTGACCTCCCCCCCCGCGCCCCGCCAGAGGCCCGGGCGGCGCGCTCAGCGCGCGCGCGGGGCGCGCGCGCGGGGCGCGCGCGCGCGCGGGGGGCGCGCCCCGCGCGCCTGGCTGGGGAGCCGGGCGGCGCGGGGGTGCGGCGAGCGGGCGGGCAGCGGGGGGGAAACGATGTTCCCAGCGCACCCGACGGGGGGTCCAACTGAAAGGGGGTGGTGCAATAGACTTGGGGCACTTGCATCGCAAATGTACTGCGCCGGAGAATTGTGTGGCATTGTATCACAAGTCAGGTATTGCACGCGAGAATCCAGCAATACATTTGCGCCCCGGAGTGTCCTGCACGCCCCAAATGTATTGCAACTTGCAAACCCACAAATCTATTGCACCAAATCTATTGCCCACTCTCTTGTCGCTGGACCCTGGATCCCCCTTTGGGGTCCACCCGAATGCTGGCGGCGCGCAGAGAGGGGTACGGGGAAGGGAGAGGGCTTCTTAGAAGCCTCATACCTACCCCCTCTGCGCGTGGCCGACGGTGGGGGAGGGACCAGCTCAGGGGCGAAACCATGATGCAGCCGACGGCGAAACCGCGCGGCCCTGGGCGGAACGCGGGCTGCTGGGCCCCCATCGCCGATCTGGGTGCGGTTGGAGGTCGATGCGTCCCCCTGCCCCTGCCCCAGTCCCCGGTGAATTCCAAGCCGTGGCGCGGGCCCCCGGCGGCCGCTCGGGACGATCTGGGTGCCTCCGGAACCCTCTCGGCCAGGCGCAGCTGCTTGAGGGCGCCCGGAGGCTGGAAAGCCGCCGAGAGCCAACGGGAACGCCCGAAAGGCTTTCTAGAAGCGTGTCTCCCCCTGCGACGCTTCGCCAGCGGGGGGGGGGGGTAGCGGAGGACGAAAGGACGGGGGGCAGGCCGGGCGACCTCAGGCCACAACTGACATCTGTGTACCTCTGCCCCCCACGGGCGCGCGCCCGGCACGGAGTCTATGCGTGGGTTCCTCTCGCTCCGCGGGTGCGCGTCCGGAGCACGTGAAGATTGGGCGTTGGGTGGCTTGCCTTGCTCGTGTGCCGCGCTGTTCTGCCGTGTCGTTCTGCCCGCCCCAGGGCGCTGGCAGCGCCACGGGGGTCGTGGATTTGGCACGTGCCCCTGGAGTCCAAAGGCGTCCCAGAGAGCCAGTCCTCCAGCACGGCTTCCGAAAGCGCCGGACGGCCCCAGACCGCCCGAACAAGGCCCAAGGCGCCCCAACGCCCCGGCAGGCCCCCATGGCAGCCCCGAGTGTCCCCAAGGACACAGAAAGGCTCACAGGAGAGCCCACACGCACATTCTCTACACACTCCAGACGTGCACACCGCGAGGCGAGAGGAACCCACGGGTCGGGGAAGGCACCCCCCGACACATGAGGCCAGTGCCGCCTGACCTGGCGACGGGGCGCGCCGACCCCGCACGAGAGCGGGCTCCGTCGCTGATCCACGCACGCGCCCCATTCCATGTCCATGTCTGCGCTTCCTCCACAGTCGGGCCCAGGTCAGGAGAAATATCCCTCAAGAGCATGAGGCCCTCCGTCGGCCAAAACAAACAGAACATCCAAGGATACCCTCCCCAGGATGCACAAGAGAATCCAACAAGCACGCAGAACACTAGGGTACAGTCCCCGAAATGCTCTGACACTTTTTTTACTTTCAACACTTTTGAAGTTTCAGCCCCCCCCCCCAAGATTCCAGAACTTC